CAACACGCAGACTCTGCCTCGGCTTCCCCTGAAGACATGGTGGGACCCCCAGGTGAGGGCAGGGCCAGGCAGGCAGAGCTCAGCTCACAGCCCTGCCGGGAGGGGGCCGGCCGGTGGGTCCCTCGGGTTCAGGGTGTGTCCTGCGTCCTTGTCGCAGAAAGGTACAGCCCGCCGGCCAACATCTCCGTCCTGTGCAACGCGTCCCACTGCGTCATCCGGTGGGACAAGCCCAGGACCAGACGGGCCCTGTCCCACAGCGAGTTCCAGTACCAGCTGGACATCCAGAGAAAGGTGAGCGGGACACGCCCTCCGCCGCCCACAGAGCCACGGGGCACGGGACACGCCGCGGGGGCAGCTGAGACACCCCGGGAACGAGACTCGGGGTCCGCACGGCCGGGGGGACGGCGGTGGGATGAGCAGAGCTGAGGGCGGAGAAGCCCCAAGAAGGCTGCAGGGAACACGGACACACACGGGAGAGCGCGGACGAAACTTCTGAAAATCTTAGAAACGGAGAAACACGAACCTTCTATTTTATTTTGTTTTCCTAGAGCTTCCCACCTGGCAGTAGAAATCCGCTGGTAAGTTCCACCCCTGACCTATCGGAACAGCCGCCATCACCCGCCGTGTGGGTGGGGGAACCTCCCTGTGTCCCAGGGTGGCCCACGGCCAGGATGGGACGTGACTTTGGAACCAGAGGGTGGACGTCTCCGAGTCCTGGGCGCTACCCTGGGCGCTCACTGGCGGGGTCCACTCTGGGCTTCAGCGTTCCCGTCCCAGTGGTTGGACTGTTTATGTTCGTCACATTCTACTCCTCTGTGTTGGTTAAGAAAATATTCCGCTGAATGTTTCAGATTATTGCTTCCCCTTAAGACGCCCCTAGAGTTAGAACTTTAAAGTACGTTTGTGCCGTATTTTCCCAGTCTACCAGCCCACTCTGACCCTCGGTATCCTCTTCTGTCAAATGAGTTAGCTGGACTTGGGGATCTCCATATCCCTTGTAGAACCGTCCATCTCTGGTTCTTGCTCCTAAACGGTCTCTACATCTATGTGTATACAGGTGTGAGTTCCAGGAGCAGTTATTTGGTGAACCAATCAATCCCTTGCCTATTATTCATGTAAGCCAGCATGCAGTGTTCTCAGCGTGTAAAGATACACGTTAACTTTATGAACCACTTACCTCTAAACTACTCTAATAGCACGTTCATTAAATGGTTTTCATTCTGTAACAGAATGACCCCTTCTTTCTATAGTTTTCGTGCCTATGTCGAGAGAGCGTGGTTTCAAAGCTTTCCTTAATTTCACAATTTAAAAGGCAATTTTTATTTTTTTATTCTCTTTAAGTATATAGTCTTTCCTGGGGGTTCCCCAGCCAAGTACTAACCCAGCCCGACACTGCTAAGCTTCCGAGATCAGAAGCGATAGGGTGTGTTTGGGGTGGGATCAACAACAAAAAAAAAAATTAAAAAATGACAACGTCTTTTCTGCATGCGGATGGCAACTCTCTGTGACGTTCTTGTTTTCTCCCAAGATCGACGTGTCTGGCGATTTGGAGAATCAATACCACTTTCCGAGCTCTGAGCCCAGAGCTACACACGTCGTAAGGATCAGAGCGGCCGACGCCCGCATCCCAGACTGGAGTCCTTGGAGTCGGCCCGTTGAGTTTGGTGAGCGCGTCGGCCGGCACGTGGGCAAGGGCTGCGTCCGGCAGATATAAGGGACATCAGTGATGTCCGATGCCACCCGGGAGGGGACGCAGGTGCCAGCTGCTTTCTCCTGGGCGCTGAGTTTTGCGTTTAGAGCATCGCTAGGGATATTGTCACAGCCCAACTGTGTCCTTGAGTCACCCCAGAAAGCTCAGAAGGCGGAGGTGACCTCCTAAATGGGCCCTGGGATGTCACTTTGTCAGTGGTGGAGACAGGACATATTTAAACGCCTCCTTCTGCCCAGCCAGGAAATGATCTCTCAGTGTTGG